CCCTGGGTTCGGCTGCTCAGCATGGGGAAGATGCTGTTGTAAATGAGCTTTTGGCTGGGCCAGTGTAGCCCCGGTTTCCTTGCCTTTCTCGCTCATTGCCTTTTCCCCCAGCAGAAATCTTACTTAGATGCTCTTACGGCTACCTTTGTCTTAGTGTCAGCCTTTATTACCCCTCAGTGTGAGCCTGGATGCTTGGTTTGGTTTTGTTTTGTTTTGTTTTGTTTTGTTTTGTTTTGTTTTGTTATGTTTTGTTTTGTGTTGTGTTATTTCCCCCTGGCTAATGCATGTACTTAGTAAGTCGCGTTTCACAATCACCCCTCGTGGGTGCGATCGTTTTTTTTAATTATTGTCAATTATGAACTTGGGAAGGGTTAAGTAGTAGGTGTGTATGTGGCAAACTGAAATTACTTATGTGGAKATGTTTGTGCTGGTTTGATTCAATAGTCACAACGGAAACGTAATAGCCAAAGTGTTACCTGCTGGCAGCTGAAAAGTGAGTACTGGCACGTTTGAGTCTTCAGCTAGCAACCAGTGCCATCTCAGGCTTTGAAAAATCAGTCAGATGGCAGCATTCAATCTTAAAATTAAGTGGGCAAGCGTTCAAATTGACAGCTTTACTGTTTCTTGCACAACTGATTTGGGTGAAGGGGTTTTGTGGCTGAGCACGTGGCTGTAGGAACTGTGTGACAGTCAGTCTTGTTTGTGGCAGTTCAGAATTCAYTGAACTTCAAGGGCTGTATCATTCGGGGAGAGGGAGGGGTTTTGTTGGTTTGKTTGTAGGTTTGGGGTTTTGTGGTTTGGGAAACTCTGTCTTTTTTTTTTAAGTAAGTATTTACCAGTATAGTTTATACATTGCCTCCTACAAATTTGCTTTTTGTTTAGATAAAGAAATAACACTTTTCAGAAAGACTGAGATCCTCCTTGCACTTGGGAATTTGTTCTCATGATTTCCAAAATGCAAGATCACTAGTCAGTTCGATCAATTTAGTAGAGAAGGTGTTTTCACCTTAAATCATTGGAAAAGGTTTYTCTCAGTGTGAGTATCTGCATTTCCTTGTTGCATGCAGGTAACAAAAGAGGGAGTGTTTGAGTGGAAAATCTGTTTTTCTGTTTTCTGCTACTGTTATTGCATTGCAGACTTGTGAAAGGTCTGGCTCCACGGGACAGTTACTTTTAGTGAACAGCTGCTGACCTGATTTGATTTTTTTTTTCCTTTAAAGCACCTGGAAGACTCCAGTGAAAATTGGAGTGTGACAAGTTAACAGAGAAAGGGAGTCGTTGTTTCCATTCCATGGATCCCTTGGGTGCTCCTTCCCAGTTTGTGGATATTGATAGTCTGCCAGGCTGGAGTGATTCCTATGAGGCCAAGCAGCTGGATTGTCACCAAAGTCCTGTTGAAAAAGCTCAAGTTGATGTTAGATCACCTTTTCCATACAGGAAAGACATCAATGAAAAAATARTCTTGTGGTAAGTTCAGTGTGGCTCTCGTGTGTCAGTCATCACTTCTCCATTTACTGCAGGACCCATATGCTCATGTAATGATAACTGCTGTAGAATAAAACTTCTAAATCCTCTTTTCTTGAATCAAACATTACAGATTTGGGAAGAAAATCTTTTTGTTCACTGTAACTTTGCAAGTCTGAGATTTTGCTCCACCACAGGTTGTGCTCATAGGCAGTCTTTGATGCAGCAGACCGGAACTGTACTTCTGCTGTGATGCTGCATGCTTGATATCAAAACCTAGTTGGCCTCTTGGATATGAGGTTTTTATTTTTTAAAAAACACATGTCCTGTCTACTAGCTTTTTTTCTGTGTTTGCTGACATTATACTGCTTTCACTTTTCTGTTTTAAATCAGTAYTTCTTTCTTTTCTGTCATTCTCCTGGCTTGCTTTTGGCCCTTCCTGCCCCTCTTTCCTCCATTCTGTGTTTTGTCTATATGGCTTTCTTCCAAAATCTATCAATAAAGTGTAGTGTGCTGTACTTACTTCATCAGTTTTTCTTTCCTATAACTTAGATACTTGAACCTGCTTTCCAAATTAATAACTCTTAACTTACTCACTGTGAAGGGAGAAGGATTTCTCAGGGATGCAGATTCAGGGGTCAGCCTGGACCTCTTTCTGGTCAATATATGCAGGAAATGGGATTTTTCATGGGTTTCCTGAACAYGATCAAGTAAAGAAAGAGAGGAGTAAAAGGTTAAACATCTCTTAAAATTGGGCAAATATGTGCAATTTCAGCTGTTAGTTTTAGCTTCTCCCTRTGCGTGGGAATCTTTATTTCCCTTCCTATGCTCTTTGATCCCAAAATCCCCAATGACTGCTGCTGTGACAAAAAGCAGGTCAGAGTTCTGCTGCTCCATTGTCCCTTATGCATCTGTGCCTTGTTTATTTTCTGCATGTCTGATCCTTGAACAGCAGAATGAATGTGATCAAACTATGGGTTCACAATTTGGGAACAAAAGTGAAGAAAACTTGTCCAGCTGCAGTGTCACTCTAGACCCGCAGTAGTCTGATGAACAGCAGCAGTAAGTTGCCTTGGAYAGCAAAAATTAAAAAGTACATTGAAAAAATTGCTGAAGTTTTGAAAGTAATGCAACACAAGAGAAAATACATGGGTTTTTATCCCCAAGAGAAAATACATGGATTTTTGGAAGGTGTGACACTCCATCAGTTTAACAAGCTGCTTTGCATGTTTGCTGTCTGAGCTGCCCTACATACAACTACAACACTGCCTTTTCTACAAACATCCCTAAGTTCTGCTGAGGCTGGGACTCTTTAAGCAGCTGACATTTTGCATGCAGTCTGTTTTCATCAGGTAGAGGCAAAGGATGATTTGTCTTGGTGAACACGACAGGGTACACTACGCTCTGTGGGCACTGGAGTCCTGTTAATGCTTTTCCTGTAACTTGGCATTTCCTTGCTTGTCAGCACTGATTTGAGAATATTCTGCTTAGCTGTACATTCAGCCTGCAATAAACTGTTTCCTCGAATATTCTGCTTAGCTGTACATTTAGCCTGCAATAAACTGTTTCCTCAGGAAAGGAGATGTCGCTTTACTGAACTGCACGGCCATCGTGAACACCAGCAATGAGTCTCTCACAGATAAAAATCCAGTGTCTGAAAGTATATTTATGCATGCTGGGCCTGACCTGAAGGATGAACTCCAGAAGCTCAAAGGTAAGTGGCCAGAGRCATTTCTATCCTATTAAAATCTCAGTCTTTGCATCAGGATTAGGGCAGAAATGAAAAAAGTAGAGGTTGTCCCAGCCCCAACAGCTGGTGATAATGTGAAAAAGGTGGAGGAAACACCTGCCAATCTAATCTCTTTTTGCTGTTCACATTACAGATAATTCAAAATCTGTGGCAGATATTTGAGTTGATGGGTCCTTACTTTGTAYACAATAATTCCCCTTATCTGAAGCYACTTTAGCTTTTAGCTTTCAGAGCTTTTGCTCAAGGGACCRGTCTTGAACATCTTGAGATTTTATCCTGTTCAGTGTGTGTACATTATGAAAGACAGAAACTGAAGTTCACCATTGCAGAAATTAAGTGGATTCTATCATACACTTTGTGTATCCTCTTTCAGGATATTAATATACACATAATCTTTCAGAAAGATATGACAATAATAGATGGATTGATAAAACACTGCATGTCTAAATAAAGTCTTTGTGACTTCTTAAGTTGATGGGTTCATTTGTGTCTTGTGCACAACAAATTACTTTATTAAAAAGCTATAAGAGCAGCCCTAATGCTGGGCTATTGAAATAGATGTGGTTTGCGTGGATTCTTTATTAACAACGTTTATTGCTGATAATAAGGCATGAATACTCAGCCTTTTTTTTATCTAACAGCCACTGGGAATAGGAGTTTCCTTATTTTGTGTGTGACAAACGAGTTTACAGTTATCCAAGGTCATACAGAAGTCTAAAAGGGTTTGCAGATAAAAATTCACATCTCTAGTAACTGTGGTACTGAATTGAATTTTGAAGTTTCTGTGTAGTACTGCTCACTCTGGGTAACAGCTTGGTCTGCTTATGTAGTAACAAAATGGATATAGAAGAACTGTATTTCTAATATAAACTCTCAGTAGCTTAAATTGCAATTGAATAGAAATCCTCTGTTGCTATAAAATCATGCTTTACTGATCCAGCTTGCTTTTTTGAGTAACCTAGAAATAAAAACAGGAGGAAGGGTAACCATTTTGTAACAGATTGGAAATTCAGTGTGTGCTGTGGGTGGAAATGGCTGTTAAAATACAGTAGGTGCTCTAGAATAGTTAGGACCCCGCTGTATATGCCAGAACTCTTCTAGGATACACTTGGGTTTCTTGTGTGCAGTGAGAGGTGGGAAGAGAGGGACTGCTTTTCATGGAGTCCTTAAAGYTTGAGATCTGTTAGCAGTAGGAAGTTGTGCTCAGCTTAAATTCCCTCTTACCCTGCTGAGTTTTTTTTGCATTATTTTTACCCTGCTGCGTAGTTTTGCATCTTTTACCACAGTGAAAACACTTATGTCTTCTTCCTGTAATGCATTCTGCAGGTTCACAACTCCCTATGAAGACAGTTTTCTTTTAATCTTGTGCCAAGTGYTTTATGGAAATCAGTTCTTCTGTGACACCCTACTGACATGTTGTGTGGGGGAGGAAGGAGAGGATGGGTCACRGATTCAGCTTTTGAGCACCCATAGTATGTTTGTCACAGTAGCAGAAGTAGATTGAGAGCATAGTTAAGAAATCATTTTAGGATTCATTTGTTATCTCTGCTTTCTTTTTGGCCTTTTCCCATTTAGCCATGGAATTTTTTCATAGGGGAATGTTTGTGCTAAAAAGTGTGTGGTCTGTGCTCTAAAGCTGTAAAATGGATGCATTTTCAGTTAGGTCTCTCCTGCCTTGTTTCTGCTGCTTGGTATATATTCACATTTCAGAGACTCCAAGACAAATCATGATCTTAAAGCATGTAACATGCTGACCCTTTGAAGGCCTGTGCCCTCTTTAAGGGTCAGCTAACTTGCATATTCCTGGGAGAAATGTTAGTTTTGATTCATGCAGAAATACTACAGCCAAGGGCAAGCTCAATGAATGAAGTGCTTCTGATATAAGCTTTCCTGTCAACAAATACTTTCTACAGTCTAATAAAGACCTTCTTTAAAAGCAGTGCACAATAATCTTCCAGCACCAGTGGTGCTTTTTCTCTGCCACATGCGTGATGTAGAGGATTCAGACTTTGCATTTTAAATTTGGAGAAAAGCTATTCTAATATCTCAAATCTCACTGGATAAAAAATAGGATCTTGACTTTGCTCCCAGTTTTGCCACAGACCTTGACTTGTGCAGCTTACCTCACCCTGTACCTTAAATCAGGTAATACCTGCAGCTCCTTTTAATATGTGTTATAGACATCTTAAGGCAGAAGGCAAAGGGAAGTGTGAGGTGTGATCTAAGTACAGTTCAAGATTACCAATGCTACATCTGATTCCCTGAATTTATTAGTTTCCCTRCTGAATTCATAACTGTCCTTCAATCAAACTTGCTTCCTTATGTTTTTCATAAGACAGTTTATCCTACAAGCCTTGACTTGCTYTTTACTAATTGTGAGGCATGGGTGGACCCCAGAGGAAGAATAGTAACTTGGTATCTGATGTATTRTTTCAGGTTTGGCTTCTGCTTTTTCCATATTGTGCCTATTTAATAGCTCTCTTKCACTGTTTCAGTGGTGCAGGAATTCAGAAAATCATGCTCAGTTTTAATATGGTGTTTTCTTCTGATCAACTCAGAAGAAGCACAGTGGAGATCTATAGAAGCTAATGATGGGATTCATTTACAAGATGCTGGCTTAAAGGCAGCATGTGTTTGCCATTAAAAAAAACATGCTTGAAGGTTTGAGTAAGGAAAATTCTCAACCTGAAATAAACCTTCCCATAAAATATGCTGTCATGCATGTTGATAGCTTGCCTAAGCACTATGAGGAAAGAGTGGAGGAAGAAGGTTGGAAAATACTTTTCTTTGAGGGTAGGGAGAGAGAGAGACAGACCAGAAGTACTTCTTCAGCTGTCTAGAGCTGGAGTGGACTAGATTTAGGTGAAGAAGGGGAAGTTTAACAGACTTTTTTTCCATGTACTGAAGGAAAAACAGACTTCAAACAGTATCTGTTCCTAGAGGATGTGACTGGAGGGYGCTGTGAATGGAACAATTAAATGTATTGCTTGAACTTCCTTGCCTTGAGTCTAGATATCTAGTCTGTCAAGAGAATATGAGCTGCACAAGGATCATATGTCTGCCTTGTGGACACGAAGAAACTTGTAAAACAGCAAGCTACCTCATTCTGAGAGCATAAACTACACAAGTGTTTGATCTATTCATTTGYAATAATTTTGACAACAACTGGTTTGTTTGATTAAGGAACAATAATTGTAATCATTTCATCCAAAAAGCATTCTCCCCAAACCAAGTTGTTAAATTCAGAAGGACTTTTTATTGCTGGTTGTATAGTATACTTGTGCTTCAGTTCTCTGCACATCATTAAATCATTTCTYCCTTTGGCTCTGTAAGTAGCACAGTAAGCACTGCAATTCAGACAGAATTTCTAGCAATTTCTGGTTTGTCTTGAGAAGAWTGAGSACAGTTCTCACCTCCTYAACTGGRCTAGGTGCTAAGCAGCTGATRTGAGATAGAAGTTGGTGTTTTAGAYATCARWTATTAMGGATAGCATTCTATGTAYGAAATAGARTTGTCTGACTGGAGGAAGACAAGGCCTTGAATACTTCTGGCTTTCTTCCCATGACATGCACACTTACCCTCMTGTTTTCTTTATCCCAGGTTGCAGAACAGGCGAGGCCAAGCTGACCAAAGGCTTTAACTTGGCTGCCCGTTTCATCATTCACACGGTGGGGCCCAAGTACAAGAGCCGGTACCGCACGGCGGCCGAGAGCTCCCTGTACAGCTGCTACCGCAACGTCCTGCAGCTCGCCAAGTAAGCACAGCACAGCTTACAGGGGTGACAKCTGGGCCACTGCTGGCCTGGAAACTCTGCTCTGCAAAAGGCTAAACCTCTGTGAATGTCTCCTCGTGTATGTTGGGTTTGGTTTAAAGAGCATTGGTGGCTTCATGATGTGCTCCGTGCCTTTGCAGAGAGAGCTGAGTTGGTTCAAGTCCTGAAACAAGGTGTGCAGCTTTCAGTTCCTCAAAGGAAAAAAAACATTAATAACTGCTTTGGGTTCTGTGCTGCAAAATGAATGAGCTTGGCTCAGGCAGCAAATTCATGTGTGTCTGCAGCCATGTGGACACAACACAGGCAGATCAGACTGCTGTGTCTGTGTTTGTTTGGCCTCTCTGCTCTTGTACAACAGCTAAAATTCTGAGTCAGGGTTTAAGGTTASTTCTAAATCTACAGTTACAGCAGCTAAGTTTGTAGTTTTTTCCCCTTTCTACTTCCTCTTAATTAACAGGGGTCTTTCTTCCTATTTTTCTGTGTTCTTTCTCCTGTGACAACTGTTGTAGTATAGCAGTCACAAAATACACCTGAGCAAGAGCAGTGTCAGAAAGCATACCTAACAATTTTTTAGGGTTGGAAAGGTCAATTCTTCCACGGCTAGACTGTGTGTTGCAGTGATACAGTAACTTTTTCATAATCAAGRTTACAGCTAAGGTTTTTAGCATGTGCCAGTTTTGCTCTACCTTAGAAGTTACATGCAAATTCAGACCTGGATTGAAACACATTAAAAAAGATTTTAGAATTCCAATAGTTCTGCATACTGAATGTCTTTCAGTCAATCTATTTTCTAGAATAACTTMTGATGTTTGTGAAATTGTCTGCCAACTGTGAGCTTGTTCAAACTCCTGTGATCACTGTTGGCAACAGCTCTGCTTTATTCTTCTGAAAATGTGGCTCAATGCTGGAAGCATCTTACTGGTTTTAAAGTATGTGTCACTCTATTCTGATGGTTGTCTAATCATACCTAAGATTGAGTAAGCCACCTTGGCCTGTGACCAGATCTCTAACAAAACAAAATCATAGGTCAGGTGAAGGTATGGAAGTGCACTGAAGGGCACCTTCTTTTTCCCTCCTTCTCCTTACTGTCAATCCTTAACAGGAATGAAAGTATTTTGGAAAGGATTCCAGGGAGCTTGAGGGAAGGACTTCTTTCAGGATATGAGAAACTGTATGAACAACATAACTGAGGTAGAAGGAGAAATCTGTAAACAAGCACCAGAGGAAACTGTGGAATAATTAATGATTCTYTCCTTCTCTACTTAATGGGGGTGCATACATCTCACTAGGGAAGAATCCTTCTGCAAAAATCTGTAAGAGGATTATTSCTGCCTAGAGCCAGGGAAGGAATTATTGGTGTTCCCTTCTGTCCTGAGAGATGTCTGTYCAGACCTGGCTGTCTATTCATTTGTTTCTCTTTTTCTGGATTGCAGGGAACAGGCAATGTGCTCCGTAGGATTTTGTGTCATCAACACTCTGAAAAGATGCTACCCCTTGGAGGATGCAACCCACATAGCACTGCGTAAGTGTGTTGGTAAACAGCATAAACAGGATGGCATTCAGCAGMTCAATTACCTCTGACAGGTTGTTCTTGGTATGGGGAAACTTTTTATAGGGGGCTGTGGTTCTTTAGAGGCTGTAAAGAGGCAAGATGTTCCATGGTTGATTAAGAAATGAAAGATAAAAACAAATTATCCATTTTCTCAGTGCTGGAACTTGCATTCTTCAATATATTAATTAATAACCTGAAAAAGGTGCTGAATTGTGAGGTGAGAGAGTTTAGTGGTAATAGAAATTTGTTCAGAATAGCCAAGATGAGGCCTTACTGTTGGATACTTGTAGGCAGACTCGAGCACAGTGAATTTCATCTGTTGTTTTAGTGTCATCAGCACATTCAAATGTAATGTGATATCCTTCCCCCACTGAGCCACTCCTACAGGCTTCTGCTTTCACATTCAAAATGATGGGCTGATCACAGGCAGCAAAACACCAAGATTATTATAGTTCCATGAAAACAACAGCTCACAGGAGTTCAAAACAGCAARCTGAGTAAGACACAACAAAATTAAGAATGTTATGTAATAAATCAGTGCTTTGTTCACCCTTTAAAGCTGCACATTCAAACAGGATATAGTAGAGAGAAAAGTTGAGGAGCTGTACAAGAAGAGAAAAAGGCAAGAAATACCAAAATGAGCTCAAGACTTTTTCAGACTAGAATATACCAGACTTGAAGGGAGTTTGGTAGATGTCTGTAAACTCATGGGTGTCGTGGAAATGGTGAAAAGGAATCAGCTCCCAAAATAAAAACCATCAAGCCATGCCAGTTCAGAACAAACAAGGGGAAGTTCCTTWTGCTATTTGTTTTATGGAAATTCTTACTAAAAAGCATTGCTAAAAGTTTTCAAATTTCCTTGCATTCAAGAGGAAATTAAAGAAAAAACAAAGACCACTGAGAACAAATCAGAAAATATCCTAGGTTAAAAATAATGTCTAGAAAAATGCTCCAACAAGAGCAGTATATACCCTTGTAAATATACTTATATACTGGTTCCTACTCTTCCCCATCTCTTTTGCCTTTTTCACATGTTCACATATGTTCAGAAGAGTTTGCTGTGGARCTCTGCAACTGCATTTTTTATGTAAAATAATGTTGCAGGTCAACCAAATTACACAGGAATTTTTCTACAGTAATACACAGGAAATACTTGAAAGTAGCTCCTTTTTTTCCCCCTCTGCATTTTTTTTAACTTCCACTAACAGATTCTATAAGTACTTATTCTATAACTACTTTTATTTTTGTCCCTGTTGATAAAATCATGCTGTAATAATCAATTTGTTTGGACACTTTCTCTCATGATTTAGAAATAGACTTTTTATATGCCTCTTTGGCACAGCTGACTGCAGAGATTTTGTGTTGCTGAGCCTGTCTTGAACCAGYTTCTGCTGTAGCTTGCTTATATTGCTTTGCTGCTAACTTAGGGCTCAGTGACTTGTTCTAAGAAGGTCTGGTTTTAGCAATTTGCACAGGACTCTGTAAAGCAAGGATTTGGCTTGATTTTTCAGGGCCATTGAATCACATTTCACAGTCTAAGGAATGCCTAGTAAGCTAAAATCAAAGAGGGATTTATTCTCTGTGTCTATCTCTAAAGTCAGCATTGGGAGAGACTGGAGATGGAGCTTCCAATATGCCCAGCAACCCATATGGTGTGTTTAACCATCACTTATTCCACACTTGCCTATAGCATGTGGAGCTATTTAGTGTGAGGAGAGATTTATCTCTTCTCTGCACTCTGAGTTCTTCACTTGTAGTTGTGTATGTAGATTTCTTCTCCTGTTTTGCTAACTACATTTAATCTGCTTCCTTGCAGGCACAGTTAGGAGGTTTCTGGAGATTCATGGAGAGACTCTGGAGAAGGTGGTGTTTGYTGTCTCTGAGCTTGAAGAGGTATCTTTTTGGCATTCATTTCACCAAAATTCCTGGGCATGTTTGATCTTCTCTGCAGGATTTGGAGTTCCCCTTCAGAACATATAATCTTTTGGTTTTACAGCATCCTTCTGTCTCCTTCCAGCATTGTTTATGCTCTTAGCAGTCACTATAGACACTTTGAGAATCTTTCTGCTTCTGCTTTCTGCTTTCCTGAGCTGTGGACAGGGACCAGTAGGGGAGATGATGGACAGGGAGCATGCAGTTGTGTTGGATGTTGGCCAGAAAGGAAATTCCTCACACAGTTTCCTCCTTACACAAAGGTGTGCTTGAAGAGGGCTAGTTCAGCATGCCTACAGATCATCTACAAACATCTTAAACACTGCTTGCTGGCTTGTTGGAATAGCAGTGATAGTTCCTGTGYAGAACACCCACACTGTGTTCTGATGACTAAGACTTCCCACCATGCTCTGTGGCATCTGGATAAAGAAAATAAYTAATTTGTTGGGGACCATAAAACTGCTGATCTGTTGGAGAGAATCCATGAACTATTACATTTTGTGGAGATTTTCACTATTTSCCTTACGTAGGGAAGGATTTTCTGTTTGGTTGGTGCTTTTCCATTTTTCACAGACAGATCACTAAAGGTGATCTGTGTGGTGGTGCATTTTAACATAACAGCAACATAAAAAAATAAATCTATTGTCTGTGTATATTTTAACAAAYATATCTGCCATCTGTCTGAGTTTATGCAATTTAAAGCAATGTCCTCTCAAAGTCACTTGCCAGTGTGGCAAAAAAAACTAGAAAGTTAACCTTTATCGAGGTTACATGCCTTTTTCTTATTTGTAGGCTGCTTACCAGAAGTTGCTGCCTCTGTATTTTCCRAGATCATTGGAAGAAGAGGTGCAATCCTTGCCTTACCTCCCTGCAGATATTGGAAATGCAGAAGGGGAGCCAGTGGTACCAGAGAGGCAGATCAGGATTACTGAAAAACCAGGTGTTCCAGATGGTGAGTTTGKAACTGGACTTTGGAATCAGTATCTSTGTGTGAAAATCAGTGGGGAAAACAGAAAGAGAAGGAGAGAGGTGTTTTCCTACCTCAGTGCCCCTAAAGCAGGTTGTATAATGATTCCAGTTCTCAAGCTGCCTCATTGGCTTCATGTGTTCCCCAGCAGTAGAGCTGTTCTGTCTTTTTCTTTCTTGATGGTAGAGGTGGTAGTTCATTCCCTCTGTAAATTTTTTCCCAAACTGATTAGGATCTTTGAAGGTGTTTTTGCAGAATCTTGTGCAGCCCCTAATTGAAGAAGGCATTGTATATACAGTTAATGGTCTGTCTTGTGTATAAGCAAGTGTTGTTTATGTATTAGCAAATGTCTCAAATGATACCATTCTGTTGATACAGCAAGAATGCAGTGCATCAAAGTAGGAGATGTGCAATGAAAACTAGCAGAAACTCCCTAAAAGATGGAAYTAGATCAACCCAGAGATCAGTGTTTAGAAATAGCTATCAAAGTTCAGTGAAAGTCTRTTTGTAAAGAGGTTGATGTCAGGGTTGAGGTGAGATACATAYAGCAAAATAATTTGATGTATTAATGGACACAGCAGACACATTCTGCCTTACTTGTTAAGCAGTGATGTGAAAGTTTTACACTTGTTCACATATAGCCTTAAACCATCTGAAGAAGATAAGTTGGAATGAGTTTCAATTTTCTTTTGCATAGCCAGTTGGGATAAGGCTGAATATTTGATATTTGYTGCTATGGCTGATCAGTGTGAGGTATTCAAGCACCATCTAACAATTTGTGGAATTACTGGATTTGCAGAGGTAATTTGTATAGTGGAATCCTGTACTCTTGTTCCATTGCTACTATAGCATGTCATGTTAAAAGGGGAGACTCAATTTCTGTCCAGATTGCCCAGAGAGACAGTGCTAGAAGTCTTAAAAACATGCCTGATGACATCAATTCAGTGGAGCAYTCTGATGTTGTCACCAGCAAGTGAGCCTGTGCTCTTCTATTTCATCACACAGTCATGTTCTAAACAATACTATAAAAATAGCTACACTCAGATCACTACAGCATTTGTTCAGCAAGCGTCAGTGGTATAAAAAGTGAGCCCTTTCTACAATTCAGCTTCTAAATTAAAGCTGCAGCATCTGTGCCTCTTCGTGCTTGTTTTCCCCTTTTGACAAGTAGGGTGACTGCAAAGCTCAAGTCACTCTCTCCAAACTTGTTTTTCATGAGAGTTAACCCTTAGTTATGAGCAGATGACTAGGACTTCCCAGTTAGTTTCCAGGCAAACCARCATTTTAAGGGAGACTAGTTCTCAATGCCCTGCTGTGATTTGCCAGTGATAGGTCAGGTATCAGAGCCTCATGGTGGTACCTCACAGGGTTTTGTGTTTTAATCATTAGTATAATGACTGTATTGTCCCCCTGGAAAATGCAGCAATTCATCAGCAGCATTGCTGTCCTGCACAGAGCCCAGACATTTCACACCACCTTTGTTTCCACTGCAGATGCTTCAGATGAAGAGGGTCTGGAGGCAGATTTGTCTTTCATTGGGTCCCATGCTTTTGCCCGCATGGAGGGAGACGTTGATAAACAGAGACGCCTCATCCTTCAGGGACAGTTGTCAGAGGCAGCACTGCAGAAACAGCATCAGAGGAAGTGAGAATTTGCTTGTTCATATGAATATTTGTGTCAGTTAGGACCAAMTCTTATGAATGATGGTTTTGTTATCTGTAAAGCCTCATCTTCCAGCAAGCAAATACGGGTAAAGCCTGGAATGACCCTGGAATGATGTGGTGCCTCTGGCCTGAAGGGAGAAGGGAAGGGGCAATAGGAGAAAAAAGGAAGCTTGTGATGAGCCCTGTAGCATACTCAGTGCATCCAGCCAGCTGTCTTATCCATTTGCCACAAGATGTCACTGTTTTGTCACCACTATTTATAGTGGGATCACCTGCTTTTAATACTGCCCGGTTGTTCCCGAGGCTCTGGGCAGATAGCAAAACACTTTTCTTCCATTTRGTAAATAAAAGAATGCTCAGGTTTTCTCCCCCTCCCATACCCTGGGAACCCTAACGTGCATGGTCACTTCTTTAGAAGTTAATTCCATGCTGGATATTTCTCAAGGCATGGTGTTGGCTTTTTTTTTTTTTTTTTCAGATGAGGCACTAAGTTGTTCACTATTCAAAGGAAAAAAAAATCTATATATGACACTGGTTGCTGCATAGCTGTGATTGATATCTAGACTTTTAAAGGAATTTTTTTTTTTCTGTCTTTTGAACACTGGCATATTTAAATGGAAAAACCTCTCAGATCTTTTCAGCCCAAATGCRATGCCACTATATTTATAAGTTAATATGTACAAATATGTATTAATTTGCCTAGTGAAAATCATTAGGTGTGTAACTAAGACACTAAATTTTATTTTTTAACCCTTCTTTCTTTAGCAACTTGCTAGTTGCTCCATAGATCAGAAAACAGCAACATTAAAGGGGATTCCATCAGAAAAAAGCTTGTTTTGTCCTTCCCTTCCCATATACCTCWTCAGGCTTATCATGCTAATCCAAAGAGGGATTAGATCTGACCAGATGTTTTTAACTTTCTAGTTATAATCGCTGGCTGTGTCAGGCAAGAGCTGAAGACCTCTCTGAYATTGCATCTCTTAAAGCTTTGTACCAGACAGGTAAGTTTGGGGTACTGATGACTGATCTATGTTGTCTCAAAGTTAAAATATTTTCCTTGGACTGTATAGGAAAGCATAGCTGTGTTTCTGGAGAGAAAAYCTGTTCAGCACTTTGGCTGATATCTTAGACCCTTATGAAAATGCAGAGTTTACCTAGATCTTTGTGTAAATAGCAAGGTTGTGTGATACCTTCTGCTCAGTAGCTACAAGTTTAAATTATTTTGTTTGCCTTAGACAAGGCTCTGTGGGCTGCAGCAGGTCCATGAGGGATRTTCTGGGAATCTCTGCATTGGAGCTCAGAGTCTGGTTTCTAGGAAGAATTTTGTTTCAGTAACAGAATTACAAGGAAGGGGTTTTTTTTAATAAATAAAATCCATGTTATTATTTGGTATTTAGGTAAATGTGGAGTACACAGGCAACATAAAAGTGCAGTCCTTTAGTTYTTCAGATGTGATACACGTTGTTTTTTATCAGAATAGCTACTGGTATAGTGACAGCAGTAACTGAGCATATTTCCTCTACTGGAAACCAGATGCTTTGCAAAAGTTCTGAGCTGAGGYTTGTTCTCCCTGGTTTGAAAGGGCCCAACTACAAAACCTGGCCTGACTGAGAGAAGTTGAGACATTTTTCTTTCTTTCTTCTGTAGGTGTAGATAACTGTGGCCGAACAGTGATGGTGGTGGTTGGAAGGAATATCCCCGTGACATTGATAGACATGGAAAAGGTAAGGCTTTGTAAAACTAGAGTTCTGTAGGTTACATATGAAAGTTTAGGATGGAAAAGCCTGATTATAAGGATGATTTAGTGTTAATACTAGRAACAYTTTTTGTAGAAGACTTAAGATGGTMRTTAGGAAGTATTTTTATAAGCAGATAAAAATGTTTACCCTTAGAAAGCTATGTGTGCTTTGCCTGACACTTTTCAATTAGGCTATTTTTAGTAAAAAAARTGGACTCCTTTTTCTTCTAAAAAAGAAGGAAAGTTACCCTGCTTCTATAACTGCCAAGATGTGAGATAAGAGTGAAATGTAATGAGTCAAATTTAGTTTTTCGTGGAAACAGCAAGAATTTGTGCCCATCTGTGAGGTCAAATAGGTAAAAAAGACATGTAGATTATTACAGTCAAGTTAAAGACTTTGAATGTCCTTGCTTGAAAACTTGAATGGCCTTGCTTTTGTAGCTGAAATGTAATGCCATCCAGCCTCATGATTCCTGATTTTTAGATGAAATAACAGAAGCATATTACAATGTAATGCAACTGCAAAAGGGCTCTTCACACATATAAATTTTATTTCTTTCTGCCTCAGGCTCTTCTGTATTTCATCCACGTCATGGATCATATTGCAGTGAAGGAATATGTCCTGGTGTACTTCCATACACTCACAAATGATTACAATCAACTAGACTCCAACTTCCTGAAGAAACTCTATGATGTTGTTGATGCCAAGTGAGTGTCACCAGGAAAAGAAAACATTCCGGTCTTCCACTGTGCTATGCAAATATTTGTTATTCCCTGTATCTGGTTTCCCATTTATTTGTGAAAGTGCTTTGCTGGGACAAAGACCTAAATAACTATACAGGCAAAAAGAAGGAAGAGATGTTTTCTTTTTTTCTCTATAAAACCAGAAGATCAATCCTCTGCCATCTGTCTCCCTTTGGGAGCTGTTAGGGAGGCACTCTGSTTGTACTGTCTGTCACAATCCAAAGCTGCAGCATTCACAGCCTGGTTTTGTTAAATTGTGTGGCTGCTTATGAGGGGAGAGTCTTGGCCAACAGTGGCAGTCATCATTTGTCCTTAATCTTCTTTCACTTCCTACTTGAAAGACTGAAGGTTGGGATGTCTTTAACTGAAAAATAACCATTCTGCTGGGTATTTTTTCCCCTTTACATTTATTTTTTTGATATCTATGCTTACATTACATCTAACTTTGTAAAATTACATGACAGGCAGTTAAGAAAAATGGTCTTTTTGACAGTTGGCTTATGTAAGTGACCTTAATTAGAATTCACTTTTAAATACTTTTTTCGTTCTCTAAACCAGGTATAAGAGGAATTTGAAGGCATTGTATTTTGTCCACCCAACATTTCGTTCAAAGGTAAGGTAAATCTTACAACAAAAAAGTATATCTTGCATGTTGGTGGAGTAGCATGTAGGCCTGTAGCAGGAGGAATGTGGAGATATATACATAGAAGACTCCCAAAATTAGGCAGCATCTTCTGGATCCACAACAGAACTTGAAATTTGTGTCATCTTTGATCTGGGTGTAATCTTCCAATCTTTTTTATAAGCTGAACCCTAATGCAGTGCATGCTTCTGTGCCCTGTTTTTTTTTAACAGAGAGAGGGGGAAGTTTTGAATCATGTTTCTTCTAAAGGGAAACACCTTGTGCTTTTTCCTGCTGTCTGGCTGGCAGAGTGATGAATGACCAAACACTCAGGGAATTCTTTTTTTTTGTGTAGTTCATCTCCTGGATGTTTCACCTTTTCTTTCACCACAAGAGGTATCAGGTGTGTCCYGTGTGTGGCTTCAGAGCTGCCCTGGGAAGGGCAGAGGGCAGAGTGTCAGGGTTACAGTGTAGAGCAACAAAGAAAGGTGGGAAGAATGCCTGTGATGGAGTGCAGAAAAATCCTAATCCATCAGCAGATGAAAAAACTGAACTTGTCATGCACAAAATTGTTACCCTTGGCTGGAATCTGTGTGTGGCAACAGAAGATGGAGCTGGTTCTGTTCTGGACTTCACACCCACTACTCCTATTGCAGCAGTATGAGTACTTCAGATTAACTAAGTGGCTGCAGCAGCCCTTCCTAGAACTTTTGTTTGTCCAATTAAAACAGTTAGAAATGTGATCCTCTCATGTTCACATCAGATTAACCTCTGTGTTTATTCTGCTTTTTGCTGACGTTAATCAAATTCGAGAAAATTATATGCCTGGAAAAACACATCTGCACATGTTCAGCAAGAATTTGACTGCTAAATTTCCAAAGAGTCTTTGCTTTGCCTGTGCACAGCTGGGACACTATGAGACTTGGAGCTTCCTTTTTTTTTTTTATGTAAATGAGACTGAGGCTTCCCAACTGCACAGCTTCCAGTTTCTGTTAGGTCATTAGTTACTCCCACAGGGTAGAGATCAGAGGTCTGTGTCCTAGAATTAGAGCTTCCAGCTCTGATGCTCATGTAAATGTAGGAGCTGGCATAGAACATTACCAAGGTCACAAAGTTGAGTGGAAAAGCTGAAGGTAGGAAGTAGTCATGGTTTAGATTCTCAGCAGCAGCACTTCATTCCCCTCCTCTCTTCCCATACATTTCTATTTAGTTGAGAAACATTTTGTTGTTGTTGAAGGATGARAACTCATTTTTACTGGAGTCTATTGCCATCTTGTCTGTCCCTTTGGAAAATGCAGTGGGACTCAGCAGATCTGTAGGAGAAGCAGATGGTTGGTGGGAAGCAAGGGAGGGTGAGAGACACGGAGTTCTCTGACTTGCTGGAAATAGTATTGGTTTGTGTCCTATTCTGGCAGCACAGCTGGAGGCAAAAAAGAATGTGTATCCATGTTTTAATGCCATGTCTTAATGCTAGTTATCTTTTCTATAACTGGAAAGCAAGCAGGATTTCTTCTGACTGTTGCAGGGACTATCAGCTTATRAAACATGATGGGGAATATGCAGCAAAAAGCACAGTGAAAAACATGGCTGCTAAGGGAGAATGATTATTCTCTCCCCTCCTTTTTTTTTGGCTCTTTCAGGGCTCTTRTCCCCATGGAAGATTGCTAGCTCAAAAGTTTCAAATTTCTTCAAAAATGTTTGGCACATWCATCTTCCTATTTGGATCACTGACTTCCTTCCCTAGAAGTAGTGGGAAATAATACCCTGTGCCTCAAATGCAGGAGGAAGGCYTGTGCATTCATGTAACTTCCCAAACACATCACCCTCATCCATAGATCTTAAATCTCTGGTATAAATTGTCCCTTTTATGGCAGTGTTGAATCCTGGCTGCCATCTGTTGGAGTCACTTTTGCTTATTTATGGGCTAAAAGGGATCAAGAGGCTTTTCATCACTGCTTCTGGAAAACCAAATGTCCCTAGAAAACCAGCATAGCTCTCCATGTACTTTATGGTGCCAACAATGATTCTTTGTTCAGTTTCTAGATATGAAACTTGTAAATTATGTATTTTCTGARGATAATGGCCTGTCTAGAATACATGGAGTTTGGCATGCAGAGAGGAATGTTCAGCAGTTATCCTAAAGCACAGAGTAACTAAAATAAGGTTTGCCACTGTGCAATCCATTTTTGTACACTTGGTTTGTATACTCCTGTTTTTGATAAAAATAAAGGGCTTTTGGGGGCATTTTTTTTGTGTGAATTCTCTCAGCTCCCCTCTTCTGAGAGCTCTCCAAACTTTCTCAGAGCTTGTTTTCTTAGCTGAAGCATAAATAGCTTGATCTGAAACAATCTCACCCAGAATAATTCTGTTTTCATAAATGGCTGTGAGTCAAGAATGTTTCAAAACTGAAACATACCCGAAGACTCAAATTAGATATTCATAATSATCATAATCTTTATATTTATCTTTWTATGTATCTTTKTGAGCAATTTTTGTCTTGTTTTTCTATAATGATCCTAAGAGCAATTTCTGTAGATCAGACACCAATGGAAAGGTTGTTGCAAATCACTTAGGTCCTTTTCTACACAAGATCCTTCCAAGTGTAATAAAATTTCCCAGATTTGAGTAAAATTTTCTTTGAGGTATGACCAAATTARGAGATTAGTGACACAACTAATCTGTGTTGTGCTTTTTTTTCTGTGAGAGACATCTCATACATTTAACTGTGTGGGTTCATAGCTTGGCAGAGTGACCTTGATAGTCTTTTATTTAAATTCAGAATATCAAGACAAAATGAAGGGAAACTTCAGCAGATGTCTAGATTTTTTACTTTTTTTGGCTGCTCTGGTATTACATGCTCTACTTTTAATCTCTTTTACTCTCTTTAACAGAGATTTGGTTTAAAAAGTTCCATGTCCCATTACCAATTAAAAAATAGCTGCTCTTGTATTACTGTTTCTGTAATCTGTGATTATCAAGAATAGAAGTAATAGAAAAATTCTCCAGAAACATTTCTGCCCTCCTCCCTTCTCTCTGTGTTCCTGGTTAAGGTGTCAAACTGCWGTGGCTTGTGTACTAAGAGGRAGAAAAGGGAAAAAAARGAAAAAAAAACWCTTCTCCCAATAGCAGTTTTTGTGATGGCTGCAAAAATATTCCCTGTTAGGCTTTTATACATTAAACATCCATAGCAATTATGTTTAATGATTGTCATTCATAACACACCTTGAAATCCAGGCTGCTTTGGTGTAAGATTGAGAAGGTATTTTTCACTCATTAAACTGTCACTAAGTGTCACTCACAAGGGGTCTTGTTGGAACAATATCATGAATAATGGATGCCAGTAAAATCTGTCTCCCTGCTTTCTGCTAACATAAATCTCTAATTCTGCMCTCAAAATAATGAACTGATTTCAAATGTTCTGTCGTGTTCTTTACCTCCTTTTCTCTTTTTCGTTGTTCCTTTCTCATTAAAATAAGCTGTTTTGAGGAGGCAGCACAGTTATTCCAGGACAATTTTTTAGGAATTTACTTTTTCTTTAAATGTTTTATTCAGGCAGATAATTTTCATTGACCTAATCTTACACTTTATTTGAAACTCTTGCTTTCTTCAAGGCTTTTCTTGCAGTGTTGCTYCTTTTCTGTTAATTTACTACAGTCAAAGCAAAACTATCAAACAGAATGACAAAATTATCAAGGTTGTAATGGATTCTGGAGGTCATCTGGTGTGGCCCCTTTGCTCAAGAAGAGTCAGCAAGAGCTGCTTACCCAGGACCATGTGATTGATCCCTGATAGGAATATCTGTGACCTGTACACAGATCACAGGTTTTTTTCTTTTCCTTCAGTCTGCCTGAGAAAGAATAGATAAGAAATAAACCAGAAGTAATACAATACTTAATTTTGGAGAAGGTGGATTTTAAAGGTAAAGCTTGTGCAGTCARTCTAAGCAGGAATATTTAATAACTCCTAAAAGTGTCAGCACTGTCTTACTGTTCTTCAAAAACAAAAATTCTATATCCAGATTATACCCAAAATAGACAGAGGTGTGAATATTAAAGTCTTATACTACAAGTTGATAGGCTTATTCTTATAGAGTTAAACTGATAGGGCTTTGCTAAAAAAGGTGGTAAAACAAAATGTCACTCAGACAACCCAAAGCAGAAGGGAGACTTCAGTACCATCTTTGAACAGCCAAAGGTCCCCTTTCCCTCCCTCCAATTGCCCTCTCCATGAAAACTGGAATGTAAAGGGTTGAAAATGCTTCTGACAGAGTCAAATARGTCATTTTCTGAGCTGGCTAAACTGGGAGTGAAAACACACCACTATACTGATGGGGTTTGAGGACAAATAGCAGAATAGCTGTCACTCTTGGAACTGTAGGAAGGGACTTTAAGCTGCATTTGGGGAGGACTGAGTGTGGAGTCAGAAAACACTGGCTTAAAGCTCTCCAGATATTGCTTGCTAGGTGCATACTTGCTGACCTTACTGTATTATGGCAGTGATTTTAGTGTTTCAAATTCAGCTCAAGCCTGTCTCACTGTGGAGTATTACATTGAACTTGAAGGTTTTGAAACAGCACCTCGTTAATTGGGTTTTGTTGTGTTCCATTTTTAGGTCTCAGCATGGTTTTTCACAACCTTTACAGTCTCAGGGCTAAAGGACAAAATCCACTATGTGGAAAGCCTTCAGCAGTTGTTCACAGCCATACCCCCAGAACAGATTGATCTTCCCCCTTTTGTCCTTGAGTATGATGCCAGGGTAAGTGACTGCAYGTGGCCACCATGAATCTGTGCCCTAAGAGCAGTTCTTGTGCTGCTCCCATTCTGCTCTGCAAGAGCTTTAAGGGGACTGACTTCACATCTTAAGAATGGGGAGAAYGAAGAGGGAAGGTTCCTGGAGAGTCTGTGAGTGATGATTCTCTGAATTTTTTATCTACATCACCCCAAGCAGAGGGTTTGGCTAAGAAGGAGACTGCTTTCCCATTGAAGCATAAAAGGCAGCTTACCCTTCTTCAGCCAAGAACTGTAATGAGACACCCTAACAGCATGTGGACAAGATAACATTTGTGTTAGCTGCTATACACCTTATACTGACTGGAAAAAAAACAGTATCTATTTCATCTTTCCTGCCCCACAAACTAACAAGCATGCAGGAAAAGGGAAAAAAAAAAAAAAAACCTGAAACAACAAGGAAAAATGAAATAGCAGAAAGATGTCCTACCTTTGTGTTGGACCCTGTTCCTCTTCCCTTCTGCAGCTCAGGTCTCTAACCCAATGGTGGAATGAATATGGCTTGTATTGGTAAAATTATTCCAAAGAGTATGTGATGTAACTATGAAGTAGTAGCCAGAGCTCTGTGTCTGCATTAGCAGCTTTCTCTTGAGTTGCTGGCTATGCCAACATTTGTGGCTTCCTGGCATCACAGYTTTGGCCTAAGTTTGGCAAAAGTTTAACTTGCAGTTTTTGCTTAAAACACAGGCAAAAAGAAGGCCTGGTTTGCCAGCCCTGGCCTCTCTGGGTGAATTGTGGCAATCACTGTACTCCTGCAAGACAAAGCCAGAACATTTAATTATTTCTGCCTCTGTGGCACTATCATTGCACCAAGGTGTGTTGAAAAAGACTTTTGTTCAACTGTTTTTTGTTTTCTCATTGCAGGAAAATGGGCCTTACTATTCTTCTTATCCTCCATCCCCTGACTTGTGATCTGCAGTCCTGTGATGCTGCCAGTTCCCCATGGATCCAATGACCTGATGCCTGCCAAAACCTGTGCATTTACCCATGTACAGAATTCAGAGAGAGGGTTTTCCTCCCCAGCTCTGGTATTTTTTTACTGATGAGATATTTTCAAGCACTCAAGCAATCAGAGAACTTTATGCCACTGTGAACTGTACAACTATTTCAAATATATTTATCCAATGGAAAAGCTGATTTAAAGATCACTAGATGCATTTTTTTTTGTTTGTTTTGTTGTTGTTGCTGCTGGTTTTTTTTTTGAAGCTGTTACATTATTTTTCTGAAYGAACTTTCTCTTTTCTGGGAACTCCATCAAAAGCACTTGATCATGTTTTTAACTGTTACTATTTTCCAGCTCTGTTTGTAATTCCCATTTCTGACTGGTCTGTACAAATCCTGTGTAGTACCAGCATGACACATCACTCATCATGTGGTCTGTGTTTCCCATAAGATTGCTTTCCCTTTYTGTTAGTACTGATTACTTTAGTCTTGACCCAGCAAAACTATCTGGAATTGGGAATGCCATGTCTGCAGGCTGACAAAGCTCTACAGCCAAGCCAAAATTACTCYAAAACTTAATCCCATAAACTGCTAGGTGAGCTAGGAGCCTTGAAAAAGTCCCTGTCAGTTTTCATTGGATGATGTGAAGGACCATGTCAGGATGCCACYACCCTCCCAGTAAGAATAAAACTGAAAAGCAATTGTGGTTTCTTTTCTCTAACAATACTCATTTCTGTTCTTTGCCATGGCCAGATATGTTTGTGTGGTAAGTGGATGCCATCTGCCTGAACTGTTTATGGAGAGAAGGGGGAAATGATGGCTCTAACCCCAACCTCTGGTGGCAGAGATTGTTTCATGGAGGTRTCAGTGTCCCTCTGATTGCCACTCATGGATTTTTGACAAACATGATACATGCAGGAGAGCTTACCTGAGGAACTGGAGGTGAAAAGTGTGTCAGGGCTGCCCATGGAAAGCTGAAAGAGGAAGGAGATTTTGTAAAACAAAATCAGGGATGGCAGACCCAAGTACAGAAGGATTAAATCTTCWGTAGGAAAAATGCCACAACACTACTGAATGTGAGTTAGCTGCTTTCCTGTCCTGGCTTTTATCTGCTACTCTCTCTTTACCAATTTACCAAAATTCAGTTTTCCTTGTTTTCCACTCCTGCAGTAACTACCTTATTTAAGCATTAGCAGAAGTCATTGTGAGATATTGTGGCTATTGTGGGAAGTTGGCTTTTCATGCCTGTTGAGCTGGTTGGAAATTATTAGATACTGATAAGCATAGAAAAATTGGTCCTCTCAGTGCATGTCATGATCTCTGCAGTCAGTTTGGGCTTTTGTAAGTTAGGGAAGCAGTGTAAAACAGGCCACACAGAGTTTCCTTTCTTTCCTACCTTTGCTTCCTGGCTCAGTGTTGTGTTTATCCTGCACATTCCTCAGCATATTGGGACATCTATTGCTGTGTCAGTCACAGATTAAGGTAATCACTTGGCTAGGATTTATAAATTGTGCACATACAACATAAAAAGCAAGTGAGTTTGTCTTCTAAGTATCCCTCAGGGTCCTGAAGTGATTCCATGATCACATCCAAGGTGCTGCACAATGGAAAACTCCCTTAGTGTTAATACTCGGGAGAGTTGCACCTTATGGTCYGTTCACATGTGATTGATTCAGCACTTTTCTGCTGGGTTTGGAGAAGGAAACAGCAGCAGTTTGTACAGGGCAGCTCCCACGTGTCCCTCCTGCCTTTTTTCACCTRGCTGTTTCCAGCTGCCCTTGTCCAGTGGTTTTCATAGCCAGCACTGAATTTTCCATGCTTCTCTAACGATTTGTACAGCCTTCCACCCCCGACAACCATCTGCTGTTTTTCACACCCGTGCCATTTCCAGTGGGGCTGTTGCAGAATAGTCTAATGGGCAGATTAAAGGTGATTCAGAGCTTATTGTGGAAACCAAACTCTCAGCTTGACAGTTTTTAGATGGTTTCTGTCCCTTTAGCTCACAGATGGCTCAGAGTCATAAAACCTAAACAGTTCTTGTTAGGACTCAGTCTGCACGTTTTGGAAACGTGCAGTCATTTTCAGAAAATTATTTGGCTCAGTGAAGTGTGAATGTGCCTCCAGAGCACTTGCAAAGCAGAAAGGAGATTCTGGCACTGTGCATCTTATTGTGTATATTTTTCCCTTGAAAGACTTCACTTTAAATCTTATTTTTTACCCAAATCTTGCAAATCTCAGTGGCARGACAGACCTGCATTGTGCTTCAAAGATCCTGCATTTTCCAGTGAGTCTGGAGTTGTGTCAATTTACCAGTTTTATGTTTTTAGTGGAGATGCTTAAAAATTTAATATGACAGTGAAAAGACCYAAATCACTGAAATGCTCAGGGTATTCATTGCTATTAAAACGTTCCATTGTTTCATTCTAATATGCAAAAAACTGCATTAAACTAGCTGTGCTGCATTTGTTTTAGGCACAGATAAACACTGGCATGCCCTAGTTAAGGATGGACACAGTGCTTTCCTCTGGAAGGCAGCCAGGGAGGCATAACTCTGTGCATTTTATCATCCCTACCCAGTGTGCTTACTGCAGAATTAAAACTTCTGATGAAGGATTTATTGCCTTGCTTAAAGCTGTCTCACCCCATCTGCAGGCTCAAAAAAAGGGAGTCTCCTTAGAGAWGTGTAATTATGAGGGTCATTATTCACCTCAGCATGGCCCAGAGTGCTGCAGTGGTAGAATGGCAGTGTTGTTGTCAGTAAAATTGAGCTGTGGTGCTCAGGCACTCCTTGGCCATTCCTCTTCTGACAGATCCTGTATTCTCTTCCTGACATTGCCATTAGATGTTTTAAGAGTGTGACCATGGACTGGTGASTCACAGTGTCTGGCTTTACCTGTTCTCATGTGCCCAGGCTGAGTTTGTAGCAATTACCAAGGCAGTGACAGAAATTACTGTTGCTCCTCTTGTGTRTTGTGCTGATTTCTGAACTGGATGCTGTTGGGATTTGGAAGTGGCAACAAGTTTTGGGCAAGGGTCAGGATGAGGCCTTTGAGCCAGGGTGCATTTATAGAACCACAAAATGGTTTGGGTTGGAAGAGACCTTTAAGATCATCTAGTTCCATCTCCCTTTCACTAGACCATGCTGCTCAAAGCCCATCCAACCTGGCCTTGAACATTTCCAGGGATGGAAATTCTCCACATAACCTGTTCTAGTGCCTTCTTTGCCATGTACACTTGGACCTGAGCTGTTCTTTTTTTTTTTCCTGTGTTCTGCTCACAGAATCTGAGGATGAAAATAAAGCTGCTGAGTTTCTTGGACATCTCTTCCCCAGTGGTAGGCTGAACCCCTGTTTTTCCTGTTGCAGTTGCCTCTGTTGGCTCAGCTTTGCACTGAACAAGGCTTTCTCCCCAGTCTGCCCCTGAGCACCCCTGTGGCTGCAGTGCTGCAAAGGATTAGCATCCTGCTGCTGAGACCAGACACTCCATGTGAAATTAATTTAGATGCTTCTGCTATTCAGCAAGCTGATACCAGCCCTTCTTCCCTGTCAAACTGAAAAATAAGAGCAAAAGGAGTTATCCCCTTTCCTTGGCCTCTCTGGGATGAATCTCCTGTTACACTGTGACCAAGCAACCAACCAGCCCTGCCCTGAAACTTGTTTGCACCTCTAAGTGTGATACAGGAATTCCTGACTGTTGATTCTGGCTAAATAGGAACTGTTCCCAGTGAATCCTATTAGYAAATGCAGGAATGAGGAATGAGAATGAGGGAATTGCTGGAGATGTATTTGGGGAAGRGAGTAGGAAGCAAACTACCTGGAACAACTCAGTTTGTGATCCTCCAGTGCCAGGGAGGACTAACACCAATACATAGCCTACACTGGATTATCTTCAGTCTCCCCCAGGAAGGTAACAATCCACAAATTAGAGGGATGAACAACTGAGTACAGAGATTAGCAACGTGCAGGGTCCAGTCTCTGCACTGGGCTAAGGTGAGGATGAGCTTAGCCCTGAGCCATCCTGGACACACTGGAGCAGGYAGAGGCAAGCAAACCTGCTGCAAGGTGCTGTTTCCTTCCAAGGTGAAATGAGAGAAAGATGTTTCATGCTTCAGTATTGGGATACAGATCCTTCTTTGCTCATATGCTTAAAAGCAAAGCAGTGTGGTGGGGAGGCTGCTCCTCRCTGGTCCCAGAGCTGACACAGCTCCCTCCTCCAGGAAAGGTGGGGAAAGTGCTGTGCAAAAGTTAAGGAYTGCAGGGATTAAAATGCTGCAGCCCTTTGCCCTCTGCAGAATGACCTCTGCCTCTTTACCAGGTAGATTTCTGATAACCAAGCTACTACTTGATTCTACAATCCCCCTGCAATATTTAAAATGGCAAAACCATTCTCAATATGTGCAACTGAAAAAATGCCAAGATTCCTAATGCAATTTAGACATAGCTATGGAGGAGGTGGCTTTGCTTGGAAGGACATTATGTACAGAAACGAGGGGAAGGGGATTGTATCAGATGATCCACAGCAGCCTGGCTGCCAGCACAGCATCTGCTTTTAATCACTTAAATCAGATCCTGTTTGAAGCCTTTCTCAGCTGTGCTTCCCTTGAAAACCAGATTCCTCATCCAGATGTGGCAGGACTGCTTGCCATTATGTGTGGTTAGCACAAGAGCAGCAAAACTCAAAATGTTACTGTGTGCTCAACACTTTTACCAAGATGTTATGAGAAGTCCTTGCTCCAGGGAAGATGTAGGTACCAGAGCCTCTTCTTCATCCTGTAGGAGTTTATCCTCTCCTTTTTGGAGGTAGCAAGGAAAGTCATTAAATTCCCACCCCTRTGCTGTGGAAGGTGCCAAACAATGCTTCAGTGTCCTCTAATAGTGRTGCTTCCAAATGGAACTGTTTGGGGAGCAGGATCTGGTTTTGTATCCAGGTAGTCAGTAATGGCTGAGTATCCTGAGCCAGGTCCTGCAGAAATGGTGTGGATAGACTGTTCCTGGACTGGATTCAGTTCTGCACTGTGTCTGCCTTAGCCATGAGGTCCTGACACATCTCTGCTACCTGCTGCTCATCTGCTCTTTGCATATTTGATTTTCAGATTCATCCACTGAGGAAGCTGTGGACAAATGCAACGGGCTTAATCGCAGTCCATTGGGAAGTCCTGTAACTCACTGAGAACTGATGTGAATGGCAAACATTCAGAGGAAAGGCTCAGCATGATCATTTRCTCTTGATGCATTGTTATTTTTCAGAAAACAAAAGTAATTTTTTATAAAGTAATCGATAAGAAAAATTATTTAATTGTTAGCCTTTTCATGAAGCTCTGGAGTGATGTACTCAACACCTCTGCTGGGACCAACTGTGTGACCTGTCACAGAGCAGTAGGGGTCCTGTGTTTTCCATCTTTTCCCAAAAAAAAACCTGGTACCTTCAGGAGAGGGGATTCTGGTATGACTGAGGAATGCTTTGGGTGAGAAGGTGTTCATAGTGTCCATAAATGTGAGCTGCTGCCAAGCTGCAGCACTCACCTGGCACATGGACACTGCATGGTCAGTGCCACTGGGTGTAATCTGACCTTCTGCTTGAAGAAAGTTCAAATGTGCCTGTAGAGCTATTTGATAACAGGATCATTCACAATCGAGCCTTGTTTGTAGGTTTGGTTTCTTGCAGGACACTCTACCAAACTCACCCCTGCCAAAAAGCAACACAGCACAGAAGCAGACAGAAATATTGGTGTGTGAGTGTCCTGCCCTGGGGGTAGGTGCTCATCCCACTGAACAGACCCAGGGTTATCCATCAGTTTATTGTGCTTGTGCCAGTGACAGATTGGTTTGCAAACCCTGATTCTCATTCTCCCAGAATGTTTGTGCAGCAAGGAGCTCAAAACTCATGTGCTTTAAAGGTTAACAGCAGTATATGGCTGCTTGGACACACGGAGGCATTGCTAATGGTTTGGCTGGAAAAGCTGTTTTTACATCATCTGAACAGGTTTGCTTATTTGCAAGTAAGTTGTTACTCTGTCCCCCAGAAAGGACATTAAACAGGTGGCTTTGCATGTTGAAGGCTAGCAATAATGATCATTTCCACAAGAACAGGGAAGGTGCAATGAGGCCCCTTGAATTAATTGTGCTAGTAAGGGAAATGCCTGGCTGGGTCCATTATCTCTGCTGTTCTCTGGCTCGTTGATCCATTGGCATCCTCCTCATTGGATGGAAAATGTGCAGTTTGGGGCAGGTAAATCCACTGCCTTGAGAGGAGT